GGGGAGGGAGAGAAAGAAAGAAAGAAAGAAAGGCAAGTAAGCAATAAGTTTGGAAGAACATTCCAGAACAGGGAACGCTATGCACAAAGCCCTAAGGTGAACAGGAATATGCATATTCGGCACAGCCAAAGCATGGGAAGTGAAGGAAGAGGAGAGAGGCAGGAGCCAGATCATCAGGTTCTTAGAGGTGTGGGATTTTTGTCTTCAGTGCGGGGGAGGACATCGTGAGCAGACAAGTGACCAGATCTCATGTGGGAGACCAGGAGACCAGCAGGAAGCGTAAATGCAGGCCAGAGACATTGGCCACATGGCCCAGAGCGTGCAGTGAGGGTGGAGGCTGGTGGGTGAGTTCCAGCAGGGTCAGGGCAGAATCACCAGGACAGGGTGCCTGTGATGGATGTGAGGAGCTGCAGGAAAAGCAGAGGCAGGGATGGTTTCTGTCTTGAGCACCTGGATAGCTCAATGTTGCTGAAATGGGGACCATCTGTGGGCAGAGCAGGGTTGAGGGAAGAGCAGGAACTCAGTCAGGTGCACGGGGGATGACGTGAGATGCTTGTTGAAGGCTGAGTGGTGGTAGCATGCAGGCAGCTGGGCACGGAGTCTTGCGTGAGACTCACAATGTGCAGATAAACGAGGTGCAGGTGTAGGGGGTCATCCATGAAGCCACGGGACTGGATAGCATCGCCCACTGTGACAAGAAGAACAGGCCCAGGGACCCCAAAATTTGGAGGGCAAGGGGAGGACGGAGGTCCTGGCTAGGACAGTCTGACGGTGGGAGAAAACCAGGAGAGTTGCTGGGTTCTGAGATGGAAAAGGTGGGCCTCCCCATGGGGGGGCGGGGTGAGAAGTCACACAAGGTAAGAGCTAATGCTGCCTGCTGGATTTGTCAGTGTGTCACAGGTGCCCTGTTCACTCTGTGAGCAGGGTGAACAGAGAAAAGAAGTGGAGATACCACTGTAGGGGAACTTGACTCTCAACAGGGATAGAAAAAGAGAGAAGTTGCTGGAAGGAGGGTGCAGTTCAGGGAGAAGACTTTATTTTTATTTTTATTTTTTTGAGTTGGAGTCTCACTCTGTCATCCAGACTGGAGTGCAGTGGCCGCTCCCGGCCACCGCAGCCTCGACCTGCTGGGATCCGGCGATCCTTCTGCCTCAGCCTTCCAAGTAGCTGGAACTACAGGCGCGCGCTACCATGCCCAGCTAATTTTTGATTTATTGTAGAGATGAGATCAAGAGAGATGTTGGCCGGGTGCGGTGGCTCAAGCCTATAATTCCAGCACGTTGGGAGGCCGAGGTAAGAGGATTGCCTGAGCCCATAGGTTCGAAACCAGCCTGCGCAACTTGGCCAAACCTCATCTCTGTAATAAATTAAAAAGCAAGCCAGGCATGATATGGTGCACCTGTAGTTCTGGCTACTTGGAAAGCTGAGGCAGAAGGATTGCCTAAGCTCAGCAGGTTGACTCTGGGGTGGCTGTGATTGTGCCACTGCACTCCATAGCCTGGGCGATGGAGTGAGACTTCAACTCAAAAAAAAAGAGAGAGATGTTAAGTCTGTGGTTTTTCATCATGAGATTTCCTAAGAATCACTTGGGGAGTTTGTTTAAAATGCATATTCCCAGGACACATGCCTGGAGAGTCTGATTCACTGGGTCGGCAAGTGGGCCCTGGAACCTGCATTTTAAGATGCTCCCTAATCATGATTGTGCTATGAGGTCCTCAGGCCCCCTTGGGCTGACACTCTTTTATTTTTTTGAGTTAGGGTCTCACTCTGTCACTCGAGCTGGATTGCAGTAGCAAAGGTCACTCTAACTTGCACAGAGGTGGGGCAGCAGAGACAAGGAAGTCTTGTCATGGCTCACTCTAAGCTTGACCTCCAGGACTCAGGTGATCCTTCTGCTTCAGCCTACCAAGTAGCTGGTACTACAGGTGTGCAGCACCATGCTCAACTAATTTTTTGATTTTTTGTAGAGATGAGATCTTGCTATGTTGCCTAGACTTGTCTCAAACTTCTGGGCTACAGCGATCTTCCCACCTCAGCCTCCCAAAGTGCTGGGATGACAGGCTTGAGCCATGGCGCCCTGCCTGGGCAGATGCTTTTAGAACAGAGGTGAATGCTGAGGGAACTTGAAGCTAGAGGGGCTAGCTCCTGGCTGGAGTCTCCTGAGAAGACAGTGAGAGGGATTTGGGACCCCCAAGGCAGGTAGGCGTCAGGGCCTTCTGTCTGAGAGCTCCTGCTTTCTCTGTAAAGTATGAGGTAACATATGAGGGAGACAAGTCTGTGAAGCGAGAGGCCAGAGAGAATCAGCCTGCCATTCTAATAGCAGCCTTGAAGGAGACTGACAGGGGCTATTGTTTTGAAACTACAGATAGAGCCCAAACCAGATACTTCATTTGGCTATTGCCACCTAGCTGGTGAGTGATGGAACCGAGCCCAGGCCTTCTCATTCATACATTTAGCTGGTGAACATTCATTCATTCATTCATTCTGAGTCGGGTCTCACTCTGCTGCCCATGCTGGAGTACAGCGGCATGATCACAGCTTGCTGCAGTGTCAACCTCCTGGGCTCAGGTGATCCTACCACCTCAGCCTCCTGAGTAGCTGAGACTACAGGCATATGCCAGCATGCTTGGCTAGTTTTTAACATTTTCTTGTAGAGACAAGATCTCACTATGTTGTCCAGGCTGGTCTCAAACTCCTGGGTTCAAGTGATCCTCCCGCCTTAGCCTCCCAAAGTGCTGAGATTACGGTCGTGAGCCACCATGCCTCGGCCTGATAAGTATTTATTAAGGGCCTACTGTGCACAAGCCAGGGAGATGCAGTGATGCCCTTCAAGGACTTCACAGCCTAGTAAGGCTTGTAGTTCTTTTCTGTCCCTCAGTTTAAGGGAAAACTTGGTATTTATGCGTCATCGCCAAGTAGGCCCTACATGAAGACATGGGCCTGTGTGGCATGGCCTGGTGTGAAGGGAGAGGTGGGCCCAGGACTGAGTCCGGCGTGCTGGTGGCATTGGATGTCAGGAGGAGGAGGGGGTTGGTAAGGAGACTGAGAAGGGGCAACTGGAGAGATGGGAGGAAACCCAGGAGGGTGAATCTTCTCAGCGCTCTAATGGGTGGGGGGAACCTGGGCCCATGAGCAGCACAGCAGACAGAGCTGGAGCATCCTCTGCCCTCCCTCCAAGGCACATCAATGCCAGCAAAGCACCCACATCCCCTGCAGCTGTCCTATTCCATTCTCCACGCCACAGCAAGATGATTTTTCTAAAACTCAAGTTCTGTTGTGCCACTACCCACCTTCCCAACAATCTTCAGATGGCTTCCTTTTGCTCTGTGGGTAAAACTAAACGATCTTGACTTGGCCCACAAGACCCTGTAGGACCTGGCCCTTGCTGACCTCTCTCCATTGGCATCTCTTGCCACGCTCCCCCTAGATGGCAGTACTGTGGCCACTCCAGCCTTCTTTTCGTCTTTTGACATTTCATGCTCTTTTCTGCCTCCAAACCTTTGCACGGTCCGTTCTTGCTACCTGCACAGCTCTCTAATCCCTCCTCCTTTCCTGGTTAACTCTCTCTCATCTTTTAGTTGGTTCCTTGGGGAACTTCTCCCTGGACCCTCATTTGGTTCCCCTTGTCGTACACCATCAGATCACTCAGTGCTTCTTCAAAAGACTCTCCGCACTTGTAACAATGTGTTCAGTGCCAGTGCCCCAGCTGGACTCGATGTCCTACTTGGCCAGGAAATACCCTTCTCTTGTTCTTTGTACGATTCCCAGGTAAATGGGCCTGTGAATAAATGACATCTCTCACAACCTGAGGACTGATTCTGCTGCAAACCGGGGGATGCAGGGGGAACACAAGGGAAAAAGAAAATAGAGAACAGGCACGGTGACTCGTGCCTGTCATCCCAGCACTTTGGGAGACTGAGGTAGGAGGATCACTTGAGCCCAAGAGTTGAAGACCAACCTGGGCAACATAGCAAAACCTCGACTCTACAAAATATGAAAAAAGTAGCTGGACTGGTGGCCTGTAGTTCCAGTTTCTCAGGAGGCTGAGGTGGAAGGATCACCTGAGCCCAGGAGGTTGAGGCTGCGGTGAGCCATGATTGTGCTACTGCATTCCAGCCCGGGCGACAGAGCAAGACCTTGTCTCTAAAAAAAATTTTTTTTAATTTTTTAAAAAAGAAGGTAGATGTGAGAAAGGCCGAGGGACTTTGACAAATGAGATAGAGCCATGGGGCCAAAGGTCCTGCTCACGAAAGGGGGCCTTTCTCTCCTTCCAGGCCTGTGTCCGAACTTTCTATGAAACACCCCTCCAGTTGTTGGAGAAGATCAAGAATGTCTTTAATGAAACAAGAAATCTCCTTGACCAGGACTGGAATATTTTCAGCAAGAACTGCAACAATAGCTTTGCTGAGTGCTCCAACCAAGGTAAGCACCGAAAGGGCCAGCACGTGGGTGGCAGGGGGAGGGAGGCCAGGAAGGGGCTTGGGAGGTGAGATGCGGAGCTGGGGGGGTGGACCCTGGGGAGGCAGCCAAGCTGCTACTTGTGTTGCTGTGTGTGGACGTGCTTGTTCCGTGTACATATGTGGCTTCATGTACCTCTGGTCCTGGGCACATGTCTTTTCTGACATGCGTGTGCATGCTCACCCACATATGTCTGCATGTGGAAGCATCAAGAAGGATCACGCTGGTGTCTGTGAGATTAGGAAGCGGAGAGGGAGTCCCACTCAGGAGCCCCGTAGATATGAAAGCTTTCCCCACGGGCTCTGCGGCTGGCTGGACATATGGGGGGTTCCGTGGAGAGAGCAGACGCCCCTCTGGGAGTCAGAGCCCTCTTCCAGGAGCCCTGCTGCAAATCACCAGGACACCCTGGCTCCAGAAGTCCCCAGGATGCCTTGGGTGTCCCTGAAGGGACAAGGCTGGATTTGAAGTCTGAGCATCATTCAAACTCCCAGTGCTGGCTCAGCTGCATACATGTTTACCCTGCGTGTCCTCGTCTCTGCGTCCTGTGCCACATGTACCCTCCTCCATCAACCTTGTTCCCCAAGGCAGGGCTGAAGCCCTGCAACCTGCCAGTGGCCAAGTCCAGTCTCGTGGCTTCACTCCCAAGGCCTCAAGCCTTAGTCATTTTCTAGCCCCAGCCTGTCCCTGCCTGCAGCTGTGTGGCTCCTGATTGTGCTTGAAACTGGTGTCTCTGAGGCTTGAGGTGTCTTGCGTTTGTCTGGGAGGCCGCTGTTCACCCTCCTGGCCTGGCTGCTGCTCACCGGTGGCTGGAACCCCAGCACGGGCTGTCCTTCAGCCTCCCCTCAGCTGCCACGCTCTCTGGCTCCCAGCGTATGCCTCTGAACCCTGCTCTTTGTGCTCTGCCCATGAGACCCTGTCCATGGCGTCTTCCGTGTCATGAGCATCTGCTCCGTCCTGTTCTCTTCTCAGCCTCAGGGCTGAGCTGGGAGACGGGGGGCCCCCAGATTTACACCCCCCTCCTGAGCCCTTCTGGGAAAGCTGTGCTGGAGGCTGGTGACTCGATCTCCTCTCCGTACTCTCTCTCCTCTCTCTGTGGTTCTTTCAGATGTGGTGACCAAGCCTGATTGCAACTGCCTGTACCCCAAAGCCACCCCTAGCAGTGACCCGGCCTCTCTCTCCCCTCACCAGCCCCTCGCCCCCTCCATGGCCCCTATGACTGGCTTGACCTGGGCTGACTCTGAGGGGACAGAGGGAAGTTCCCTCGTGCCCAGTGAGCAGCCTCTCCACACAGTGGACCTGGGCAGTGCCAAGCAGCGACTACCCAGAAGCACCTGCAAGAGTCTTGAGCCGCCAGAGACCCCAGGTGTCAAGGACAGCGCAGCTGGTGGCTCACCGCAACCTCGACCCGCTGTTGGGATGCCTATCCCCGGGATGGAGGACATTCTCGACTCTGCACTGGGCACTAACTGGGCCCTAGAAGAGGCCTCTGGAGAGGCCAGTGCGAGTTCTGTACCCCAAGGGACAGAGTATCACCCCTCCAGGCCAGGAGAGGGCAGCGCCCAGGCGGAGACCACCAGACTCAGCGACCTCCTCCCAGCATCTCCTTCACTCCCTGCATCAGCAAAGGGCCAATGGCTGGCAGGTGTAACTGGCACCCCATTGCCCAGGGCGGGCCCTGTGAGGCCCGTTGGCCATGCCTGGAATCACACTCCCGAGGAGACAGATCGTGCATCCGCCTTGCCCAGAGAACGCCAGGAGTCAGGCTCTCCCGGAACCTCATCGCTGCATCCCCAAGGCCTCAGCAACCCCTTCACCCTCTCCGCTCAGCCGAGGCTTCCTAAAAGCCACTCCTGGGGCAGCGTGCTGCCCCTTGGGGAGCTGGAGGGCAGGAGGAGCACCAGGGACCGGAGAAGCCCCGCAGAGCTGGAAAGAGGACAAGCGAGTGAGGGGGCGGCCAGGCCCCTGGCCCGTTCTAACTCCGTTCCTTTGGCTGACGCAGGCCCTGAGAGGCGGCCCGAGGAGTCCACCAGCCTCCAGCTCCATGGGTTTGCCTTCCGCCTGCTGGTGCCCAGCATCGTCCTGATCTTACTGGCCGTTGGTGGCCTCCTGTTCTACAGACGGAGGCGGCGGGTAAGAAGATCCCCAGGAGGGAGAAGAGGGCATCTCTTAGGGCAGGGCCAGAAAGGGGTGCAGGCTGGAAGCCAGCTCGAATTCAGCTTGGTTCTTCAGATGTGGAGGGTTAGGAGCTGACTGTGCACTGAGGATGGGAGGTGGTGACGGAGGGTTGCTTTGAGAAGGTTCGAGCTATAAGGTCAATGGAAGGGGGCCGAGCAGAAAGGAGTGGGAGAGGATATCCTTGGGCTGACAGCAAAATGACAACCAGTTGGGAGGGAGATGGCGAGGAGAGTGTGTGCATCAGGGCGGGGTGGACACTGGGAGCTCTGCAGAGCCTGGGGCGTGAGGACTGGGGGAGACACCCTTCAGGGGAGGGGTGGGGGGTAGGGGCACCATCAGCAGGGAGGCCTCACGCCTCTCCCCCAGGTCTCTGGCTGAGCCCCACTTCTGGGTTGCTGGAGAGACTCCTGCAACTCTCTCATTAATTCCGGGGGCAGCCCTGTCTGGGTTGGGGTCACTGTCCCCCCACCTCTCCCAGCTCCTCAGTGAGCTACTCTTTCCCGTCCCCAGAGCCATCAAGAGCCTCAGCCAATGGATTCTCCCTTGGAGCGGCCAGAGGGCAGGTGAGAACTTGGGGTGGAGCTCTGAAGACATTGGGGACCTGGGCTGGAGTCTATTTCCCCTCTAGATGGGGAGGGGTGGGTTTCTCCCACTTTCTCTGCAGTAGTGGAGCCTCAGGACACCATTGGGGTCAGGAGGAAGAAGGCCCTCTCTTCTTTCCTAAATATACCAGCTTTTTCCTGATTTTTCCCTAGAGTTAGGCAGTTCTGGTCTTTTCCATCTGAGAGGGCTAGGGGATGTGCAGGAATTGGGGGTACGCTTGGGGGACTCCTTTGCTTCCCTGCTCCTGCTAAGGTCTAATGCCAACCCTGTGCTCTACCTGCAGCCCTCTGACCCAGAACGAGGATACACAGGTGGAACTGCCAGTGTAGAGGGAATTTAAGGTAAGATTTGAATTTTGACCTCTCTCCACCCCTTAAAATGAGTGACCCCTTTCCAATCCCCCTCACCTCTCAGTGACACCCGCTCTCCTGAGGCCCACACACTGCCTTCTTCCCCTCTCTCTTCCTCCCTTCCACGCACCAACAGGGCCAGCCACGTCTCCTTTCTGGGTCCTCTGGTCTCCCCTCACCCTCCATTCTCTCCACCTCAGCTGAGGCCAGGCACTACTACCTCTGCGTTGGCTTTCTAGTCTTGCTGCCGCCTTTGATCCCTGAGCAACCAAAGTCCTCTTCCTCAAATGTGGCTCTGATAAGGTCTGTACCCTCTGGGGGTGTTGCAGCCACTTCAAACCTTATGTTCTTAGCTTGGCTTCCGAGCTCCTCCCATAGCGCCTGGGGTGCCAGATTGCTCCCCTGGTTGGCCTTCCCTCCCCAGCTAATGTCCTGTCTGCCTCCCTGCTTTTAGGAACATGGTGACATAGACCCTTAGTCTTGGAAGGGCTCTCAGAGGTCATTTGGCCCAGTGCTCCACCTTAAAAGGGCCACCCCTTCCACGTCCCCAACAGAGAGCCAACCAGCTTCCTATCACACACTCCTGCTTCTAAGCCAGCTCACTGCCTAGCCACAGGCCATGCCATTTTCAAATCACACTGGGAGAAAGGCCTTCCTCATGGGAAGCAAAATTGGACTCCCCACCCCATCCACAATGGTCCGCCCTCCAGTCCTCATGAGAGCCCTCCAATATTTCCAGAGAGTTATCCATATCCCCTTTGAGAATTCTCTAAGCTAAGTGTGGCCAAGTCCCTCAAACATTCCTTATATGATGTGGTTTTCAGACCCCTCACCATCCTGGACACACTCGTTTGTCAATGTCCCTCTGAAAATGTGGCGCCCAGCCCTGGACACAGTACTCCAGATGTTTCTGACCAGCTCAGAGTACAGTGGGACTGTTACCTTCCTTGATCTGGACAGTATTCTTCTATGCGTGCAGATTAAGATCGTATTAGTTTTTTTTTAACAATCGCATCGCACTGTTGTCATATGTTGAGCTTGTGGTCTATTAAAACCCCTAGTTTCATATCCCATAAACCTCTGTCAAGCCAGACCTTTTCTAGCCTGTACTTGGACAACTTAACTTTTTTAACCCAAGTGCAGGCATTTATATTCACCCTTGTTAAAGCCATCTTGTTTGTTTCTGCCCATCACCCGAGACTACTTATGTAGTTTTAAACCCGAATTCTGCCACCTTCGTGGCTCTCCCCATGGGATTCCAGCACATTGATGAGTGTCTTCTGTTGCCCTTGACCACACAGTTGATACAGATGTGCCTCTAATGATGCCTCGCCCCTGGCTTCCCAACCCCAGCTGGCCCACACCCCCCTCCCTCCCCCTTCAAGTCCACAATCAGCCCACCAGGAAGTTGTCCAGATTTCTCCACGACCCTCTGGCTGCTCCCTTAATACCCGTTCTGCTCATTTGTATCTGGTTAATACTATATCAGTTTGCACTTATGTGGATGTTGTTTTCATGTATTTTAAAATTTGTATTGTATGTGTAAGCTTACTACATTCCATACCCCTAAGAAGATTGTAAGCCCCTTGAGGGTAGGGACCGTCTTCCACTTTTTCTGCATTTCTTTTTCTATCCCAGGTTCTACTACAGAGAGGGCTGCTCCACACTTGCCAAAAATTTCTCAATAAATGTTGACGGACCAGCTTCAGGGCTGACTTACTGACGGACCTGGGCCAGCTGTCTCTAACTGACCAGTCTCTGGCTGACCAAATTAATCAGCCAACTAATATCCTCTGACTGACTGGCTGAGTGGCTGGCTGGGTGACTCTGACTAACCAACTGACTAGCTGGTGACTGCCTAAGTGTCTAGTTGTTGATTGGTGAACTGATTGGCTGACTGACTAGCTGACCTCTTGCAGATTGGCTGCTTGAGAAGCTGAGGTGTCCTGTTCAAGTTTCTAGTCACACCTCTTACCATGCAAGCCAATGCCTTAGGGCTTTCCCACGTGTGGAATAGCAGGTCTGGGCCCCTCCTAGAGAGACAGGGGATGTCAAAAATGCTCAAAACCAGGAGAATCCGTTTAGAAAAGAGCCAGCAGTTACAACACATCTGGAATGCTGAGGTCCCCCTTGTCAGTAGGGTGGGCTAAGATAAGTGAGTGGGTCAGCTGGGGCACTGGCAAGGCTGTGGAGTGACCCTTCCCCCCTTGGGACCAGTGGCTCAGGGCTGAGCCTCCCTACCCATTGGTATCCACCCCCACCTGAGGTCTTGGCTCTCTGCCCTGTTCCTGTCCTGCCCATTCCCCCCTTTTCCTGCTTGGCTATTGTCAGACCCATCGGAAGCCTTCCTCTTCCTTCCCTCAAGATTTCACTTGGAGAGGGCACCCAGAGCAGGGCTACCACCAGACCTCCCTTGGCCCAGCGGGTTTCCAAGCCAGGCACCAGGGGCCTCTGGGAGGTGGAGGACCATCCCCTTGGACTACTGCTGCTCTGATGAGAGAAATGAGAGGCAGAGACTGAGAGAGGACTTCAGAGCCACAGAAAACTCAGACCGCAGTCCCTCAACCCTGAGCAACCAGGAGATGGAGCAGCAGGCTGGACTGTACCCGCTTGTCCTCCTTCCCCCGAGCCGGACCTGTAGCCTGGCTGTACCCAGCATGGCTTATGTCCCATTTATGGTTCCCCTTCCTTCCCTTCAGTGCATGGGAACAGGCTAGGAGCCAGATGCTGTGGTTCCATCTTCTCCTTCCTCAACCACCATGGACTTTGCCAGTAGGGCCAATGGATGTTAAAGAAAGAGGCTGCACATAGGGTCTAAAGTCAAACTGTTGGATGGTGGCCAGGGGATTTCTGCTCTGGGAACAAAGCGTTCTGAGGATGCTGGGCAAGGGGACAAGGATGGGGCGGGGTGGGGAGAGGGCAGGGCCCTGACTCCCATGGAAGATGCAGGAGGCAAGTCTCTGGGCCTATGCGGGGGGAGGCGCATTGCTTAGGGGTCAGCATGACAAATGGTAAAGTGGGAGTTTCCCTGTCCCGGGACAGCCTCTAGACTTTTCTGCTCTGACCCAAGTCCTTCCTCTTCAGCTACTTCTGCCCTACTGTCTTGAATACCATCTGTGATGACTTCCTCTGATGAAGGTGGAGGTGGAAATAAAAACTTCTTCTTTGCTAGCATTAGCAAGAATTGGCCTTTGTTTTCGGGATCAAGGCCAGTAAGATGGTCTTGCCTGAGGAGCAGTCTAAGGACACTCAAGTGCCCCCCTTCCCTCATGTCAGAACCCTCTGCTTGAGCAGTGGCCCCTTTTCCCAGGGCTTCTCAGACCTCCACTAGGCCCCAATACCTCCCACCATGGTCCCTGGTTCCCCAGGAGGAGGTAGGAGGTGAGGCCAGTCTGGTCAGAGGCTTGGGCTGGTGCCAGGGAAAGCCACCTTGTCCCTCTGTGGTGTCTGGGTGGCTGAGAAGGAGAGGGAAGGAATGGGAGGAAGTCCTGCCTGCAGTCCCACCAACAGCCCACAGGAATGCCAGACCTCCCTGCCCTGGGTCCTCAGCAACTCCCCCCCCACCCCCCCATTCAGCTAACCAGTCTTTTCTTCTCTCCCTTGCAGCTGGGCTCACAGGACGGTGTCTCCATGGGAGGAGACATGACGGGCATCCGCCACCACCCCTCCCAGCCATCCTCCTGGAATGTGGTCTGCCCTCCTGGAATGTGGACTGGACCAGAGTAGCCAGGCTGGGGTTCTTCCACCTTGACCCTCACACCCTCCGCTGACTGAGAGAGGGCCAGAGGACTCCCCCCACGCTGCCACTATTTATTGTGGGCCCTGGAGGCTCCCATGTGCTTGAGGAAGGCTGGCAAGCCCAGCTCAGGATCTTCCCCTTCAGGGCTGCACCCTCCTCTCACCCCCCTCCATGCCAGCACCTGGGCCAGGGACCTGCCAGCCCGTGGGAGAGCCGGGTGGGCGCTGAGGGTGGAAGAGCCCTGCGCCCAGAAGTCCCGCCTGGTGCCGAGGGATCTTAATCTGGACAGGCAGGGACCTGTCTCTGGAGAGAGGAGCCTGAGACTGGTGGGGCGGGACAGCGTCGGCCTGGTTTCCTGGAAAGGCGTGCAGCCCAAGAGACGGGAATGGGAGGCCTCTGGGCCTGCTGGTCTGCACAGACAGCCCAGAGGGGTCTACACCCTTGGCTCACCTAAGTGCCCCCTGCTGGTTGCCAGGCATAGAGGCGAGGCCTGCCCTGCCCTGCCCTCAGGACCTGTCTGGCCTGCCCAACACACCAAGAGGACCAAGCGCTGGCCTCTGCCCCTCCTTCCCTCCAGCCCCTGCCAGAGCTTCTCCAGGAGGCTGGGCAGAGGCTCCCTTCATGAAGGAAGCCATTGCACTGTGAACACTGAACCTGCCTGCTGAACAGCCTGCCCCGTCCATCCATGAGCGAGCATCCGTCCATCCTCCACCCTCTCCCCAGCTTCCGGCACTGAGCTGGCCTCACCAGTCGACTGAGGGAGCCCCTCAGCCCTGACCTGCTCCTGACCCGGCCTTGACTCCACTCCCAGGGTGGAGCGGGTGGGAGAACTGCCGGGGCCGCCAGCCAGAGCTGGTCTTTAGGCTGTGCTGTTCGCCCAGGTTTCTGCAAATTGCACTTTGACATTCCCAAGAGGGAAGTGACTAGTGGGAGGGAGAGGGGAGAGAAGAGGCAGGGAGGCTGCAGGGTGAGCTCTGACTGAAAATGGGCCTTTGAAATACGGATATGCCCCTGAGGTCGGGGGAGGGGTCTCCACCCCTGACCCCAGCCCAGTCTCCTTTTCTGCTGCCGGCGGGCACCTGGGGCTGAGCAGGTGGTCCCTGTCAGGAGCTCCAGGCTGGGCTGCACCCCAACCCCACCCGCTTGGCACCCAGCTCCTGTTCCCTTTTGCCTGTCTTTCTCCCTGACCCAGTCGGCAACAATACCCCTCAAGTCTCACGCCACCCCTATACCACGCCTCCGACCAGGCAAGCCAGGGTGAGAGAAGGGACCAGGAGATCCAGGCATCAGTTTCCGTGGCTCTGAGGACCTCCGCTTCCTGGCCTGCCCATGGCCGTGGCTCTGAGGCCTGGGCAACGGTTGACAGGGCCGTCAACTGCCACTTGGTCCCTTTGTGCTGCTGTGTCCCTCCTCTCCTGCTGCCTGGGCCCTTTGCTGAGAGGCCATATCCTACATGGCCTCTGGGCCTGTGACCTTCCTTTTTTGCCCGAGAAAGTGAGGGTTGGCTGGCTCCATACCCCCTCGTCGTGATGCTGACAGCTAAGGGAAGAGCAGCCGAGAGCTTTCATGTGGGGCTCAGCCTTCTAGTCACAAACTCTATATTTGATGCTAGAAAACACATCTTTAAAAATGGAAGGAAAAACAACAACAAAAAAGTGTCTTCCCCCACCCCTCTACCTTAAACGCATGGTATTTTAAAGGTCAAAAAAAGCAAATCCAACCCATTGCAGAAGCTCTTTGTGGACACTTGGTGGCATCAGAGCAGGGGGAGCCCCAGAGCCACCTCGGGGGTGTCCCCTGGATTACCTGCGCAGGCACCTCTTCTGTTCTTTTGTGTGTCCAAAAGGTCAATACTGAAAGCATGAGAAAGCCAAGAGGGAACATTGGCTCACATACTGTGAGATTTCGTTTTTATACTTGGAAGTGGTGAATTATTTTATACAAAGTCATTTAAATATCTATTTAAAAATAGGAAGCTGCTTATATATTTAATAATAAAAGAAGTGCACAAGCTGCCATGTGAGTCACAGGAAAAGTTGTTTTGGGGGTGTAGGTGGCAGAAATGGGTGTGGGCGGTCAGTTGCTGGGTAAGTCCCAGCTCTGAAAGCTTTTTCCAAGATACGCGGGGAAGGCGGGTTCTCTCCAAGTTTCAGTCTCATTACCAAAACGTCCTGTATTATTGCTGTCCCAAACACATTCGTCTGCATATCTGTTTAGTAGGAAAACGGGTAGAAAGCAGCCAAACCTCAGGCCTGGCCACCAGCCCTCGCTCCAGCCCAGCCTAGCCCAGCCTGGGAAAATGGCCGGTTGGGCTCTGTCCAAGGGCCCCCGGGGGCCTGTAGGGATGAGACTCCTTGACCAATGAGCCCTACTGGCCAGATTCTCACAGGACTTTGAAGTGAATGAGCGCTGTCTATGGGCGGGGAAGTGAGCAAGGCTAGCCAGGGAGGGCCCTCACTAGGCTCTGACCTTCCCACTGGAAATGGTGCAGAGACCAAGGATGTGGCCTTCCTTGGGGAGAGGGGTGTTGGGACAGGCTAGAGCAGGGCAAGGCCCCACACACACCCTGAGCAAAGCCGTGACAAGAGAGGCCTCCTCATCCCTGAGGGTGTGGTGGGCAAAGTTTTGGATCAGTGGTTCCCAACCCTGGCTTACTGAAGAATCACCTGGATTGCTGAAAAATAAATAAATAAATGCTGATTCCCAAGCCCCACCCTAGATCGACAATATTAGTTCTCAGGGGTGAGGCTTAGATCAGG